AACTTCTTCATATTGTTTTTTTTCTAATATTCATATTCGCAAAACATTCGCAGAAATTTTGCGAATGCGAATGTGATTGCGAATATTCAAAAATATGCGAATATTCGCGAATGCGAATGCGAATATTCGTTACATCACTAGTGTGTAAGCATGCTAGCTGTGTAGTGTTGGTGTTTGTGGCCTGTATGGGAGTCGTAAGCGTGTTGGCGCGGCTGATTTCGTCGTCGGGGTACTCTAAGACGTGCCTAGGCCGACGGAATTTGTTTCGCCACGCTTTTAACATTAAAATGAAGATGCGAGCGAAATTTAGTTCAAATACAAAAGTAGAATAATGAATCGACCAGCTTCCTTTCACAGGAACTAATTAAGTTGATGATATTTACTTATGTTATAATATAAATAATAATTCCATCTCCTTCCATTCTCTATCCAGTTCCTGCAAAGAGGGTGAGCAAATACAATTAAATACACCTACTAAGTTTGTTAAATGTCTCACAAAAGATTTTCACTTTGAATATATTTCATAATTATGAGTTCATTCGGTTTGTTCAATTAGCCATTAATTTTAATCAGACTTTGTGGTAATCCTCTTTTTTAGTAGATACTCCGAGTACAGAAGGTTTTTTGAACAAACGGTTATATTTATAGATTGTGTAGGTAGGAGGTTGCTACGTCTTAAAATTCTAAGATGGATATAATTTTTTGCTATTGAAAAACTTACTCCTTTTAAAGAAAATTTTACTAGAAAAAAAATGCACGCGGACCAGGCAGCAGACGGGACCCGAACCCGTACCCTTTACTATCCTGGCGAATGCACTGACCATTATGCTACCGCAGCCCTAATGACCGTGTCGAATGCTTTCTAGCCTTTACTAAGCTGCAAGGCAGCGCCACCTCTTCCCATTGCAGCTGTAACTTATTCCTTACTAAAAATTTGAGATTTCTATCCCAGCGTAGGTGAAATTCATGGCGATCCAAAATTTTTTTTTTTATTAAATTAAGTTTTTTAGTCCTATATACATATTTTACATTCGGCCACAGATAAGAAATCTACAAATAAACGTACATTTTTATCTTTATTCTGTTTTAAATAAATGTGACTTGAACCATAGTTCTTTAATCCAATTTGAAAGCTAATGATGTGTTTAGCAGGATGAATGATGTGTCTTCATTTCAATTATGAATTTTGGCCCAAGTTGCACTAAAAAATACGAATAAATAAATTTAATAAACCAAAAAACCAGATTGCTTAAATAGTACATAGTACTTGAAATAAAAACTTAAAAGAATAAAACAAGTCCAATAGTCTATAATTCTATTAAGTATGGAACAAAGATAGTTTAACAGTCGGGACCAATTATTGAAAAAAAATGATGCATTCTGGAATATCTAATGGGTCCCGTTTGTTAAAGTAGCTTTGTTCCTTACTTAACAGAATTACTACTGGACTTGTTTTTTTTCTTTTCAGTTTTTGTTTGAAGTACTATTCAGGCAGACGGGTTTAATGTGTTTTTTTAATTTACTGTTTTTTAATTTGAAGTTATAATTAAGCAGTCGGGGTTTTTTTTAAATATACCGTTTTTCACACTATTAAGGCCGTATACAGAAAGAAAGCCGAAAGCCGATCGGCGCCGATCAGCGCCGATCGGCGCTTAGCGGCGCCTATAGGCGCTGACGCCGACTCGCGCTGGTCCGAATAATAAATAATTTGTATTTGAATTATTTTCCTTAGATTAAATCAATCTAAGTTATAATCTTTTTATAAATCTAATAACTTTATCTTTTATTAACTAAGCGCTAAAATTATTTGTTTCGTACTTATCGAATGGTGACAACAAGTCTTTCTTCTGGAAGGATTGGTTGTTTATGCCAATTGCCCCAATTTTTCATCAAACAGTTTTTCACTAAATCCAAAATGTAATAAAATGTTTCTTGAATCATTCTTGTATATGTATAAAATCTTTGTTCATCAATTTTTTTTTTTTTTACAAATAAATGATGGTATTCTCCGAAACGTTTCCTTTCACTATTTATAGAATGTATAGCTGTTTTTCGCATTTTTAAATAAACATTTTCTAACAAAACCAAATCATCGTCCGATGAGTCCGACATTTTGCTTGATCTGCTTTAATCGGCTTCCTTTATGTAGGAAGGATCGGCGCCGATAAGCGCCGATCGGCTTTCGGCTTTCTTTCTGTATACGGCCTTAGTTACGATTATAAGAGGGTATATACTGCAGTCTTGTCTCTAGAGTGAGGGAGTTAATATCGCGGGGTTTATTTAGTACCTTGCGATGATTTAAACGATTGATTTATTAAGACATATAGAACCGTACCACCAGGGTCAAGGCCACAGATGGGCCACAATTTTCTCAAAAATGTTTGAAGTTAAATCTATTTAATAAATGAAGTTAATAAGACTTCAAGTAGCTGTATCTTTGCGAATATACCAAACAGCGGAATAGACACCATCATGTTCTCACAGCACGATACATGCTACTACTTTAGCTGCTAACAAGCCAGAAGTTAGTATAGAGCTTATAAAGAAAACTGCTGATTGGACAACTGCGAGATTATACAATAGACAAGATCCAAAAATAACTAAGAATTTTTTTGCTCGCTCTCTTTACAGACTGATTTCGATCTTGTCAACTTTCATTAAAGTAATAAGCAAATCATTTTATGCATAAAACTACAATTTGAAAGTGATGAATTCAGTTGAAAAATAAAAATATAAAAAAATGGTTGCCTGTAAAGTCGGTTTTACGGGCGAAGATTTTACGTGACAACGTCTTTTTCTCGGTAGAATATTTATTGATATGAATATAATTAAATTGCACAATAGGAACAAGGAATTGAATGAAAATAAGAATTGCACAAATTTTAAGTATAGAAATATATTTTGTTTACTAAAACATTGTACATGTAAACTTAAACTTAACACGAGAGACTCATCGTAACGTTACCGAGCGTTACACTTTTTCATAAGTGACTCCCAGCCGCAACCTAATTTAAGACGTTGTCACGTCAAAAAGTCTTTTACTTTTATTTTTAATATTTATATCAGAAATCACAACAACAACACTTTTGAATCGTCCAAACATTTTTTCCTTACCACTCGTTATTGGACATATTTTTTAGCTGCGGAGAAAAACGAGCGAAAAAGCTCCACAACATGTTCTCCACATACAGGAATGATTGGAACAGTTCAAACCCAAGCATTTTTGTCTGTAATATAATCAGACACTCTGTAATAAGCTTTTTTAATAAGCGCTTTTTTTATACTATCTTTCAATTTATTAATGGTTAGTTAACTCTTGGGACTTTATTGTATAAGCGAACATAAAGACCTTTATATGAATTATTGATTTTGTGAAGCCTAGTAGCAGGTAAAGTTAGTTTATTTTTGTTTCTTGTATTAAGTGTGTGAACATCACTGTTTTTAAGAAACAAATTAATATTTTTTTCTTTCAAGTAATCATCATCAGCCTATTAATGTCCCCACTGCTGGGGTACAGACCTTCCCTATGGATGGAATAGGGAGATTGGGCCATGACCCACCACGCGGGCCACGTGCGGATTGGTGGGTGCTAACGACTGCAGATGCAGCCGGGACCAACGGCTTAACGTGCCTTCCGAAGCACGGAGGAACTCGAGATAGTAAATTTTTGGTCACCCATCCAATGACCGACCACTGCGAAAGTTGCTTAACTTCAACGATCGCAGCCGAACGCGCTAACCACTTGCGCCATCGAGCTCCTTTTTTTCAAGTAATAAATTTTTGTATATGTGTTGTGATGCGACCGTCATTATTCCAAATTCTTTAAACATATCTCTTAAAGAATCCTTAACTTTAAGATTATAAATTTATCGGATAGCTCTCTTCTGCAGCACAAAAATTGTTTGAATGTCGACGGCGTTTAATACATTATTTAAGGTTGAATATTCCCGAAATTCAGAAAAAATATCATAACTATAAATAGTCGCGGAACATACAGGGGGGGGGGGGGGGTGATTCGGATACCCCGCGATAAGAGGGACGTACATTTTTTTGGACTCTCTGTATAGGTATCAATTATGATTATCATACTTCATTATTATACACGACATGAAAAGGTTTATAAAACCTGCTTCTTTCAGCTTATTTTTTTTAAATGTTATCTGCAATGAAGTATAGATATATTCGATCAACAATTCTATAGATAACGGGTCAGCGCGTAAAATCCATCTCGGTAAATAATATAGGGTAACGGATAGAATACATATATTGTACATATATAAGTACCTATATTTATATAGAAATACATATTAAACATCCATGACTGGAGTACAAATGCACGTATTCATCACACAAACATCTGCCCCCACCGGGTATCGAACTCGGGACCTCTCGAGTCGGCGACACCATGAAACCCGGCGTACAAACCACTCGGTCACGGAGGTCGTCAGCCAAATATAGCCTCACTTGAGGCGTGAAATCTTATTTTAGATTAGTTAGTTTAATACAAAACGAAGTTACTAAGGTTGATTTCACATTTTCATTTTACCACCTTTATCGTTATTTGCCAAGTATCCCTCGACCAAGAAAGCAAGTATCAGATGTAATTTATGTTTTAGAACGTTTTATAAGATAAAAGGTCATATGTGCGAAATGACATTTCGTCACTTGTAACCTTTTTCGTTAGTGAGATAGTTCGCTAAGGTTCAAACTAAAGTGTTTTATAACATTTATCTCTGCTCATTGAGAATCGAATGTAGCTGCATAAGTTTAAACATACGCAGACATTTTTTTATTTAGCTTTGATTTTGTATGCAAACCGCTATCTAAAGAATTGTTGATCGAAGATAGCTATTTAAAAAACGAGCGCGTTCGAAATTCAAGCGTTGAGCGTTACGTTTCGTTTCAACCCTCACGCGCTACGGACCACGCAGGCTCTGCTGCTTTCCCGGGCAGTAGTGATCAGCTAACCCTACCCCCCTCCTCTGTGGCACCGTCAAACCGCTCCGAGCGCCCGTTCCGTTCAGACGTACGCCCGCGTCTACCGCGTAAACACCTGTGGCATTTCAATCCGCGAAAAGGACGGAGCAGTGCCGTATCTTGCGTCTCGATCGCACATCGGCGGTTGTGCGTTCGATTTTTGTTTTTGTTTTTTCCGCGTACCCACCACACATCTCTCTCTCTCAATAATAAGAAGGACATTGGCGAAAATTTCTGTGTAAATCGGAACAAATCACAGTTATAATATACACAAGGATCGCAGTGAATTTTCAGTGACACACAATTTGTTATCAGTGCTTTACTAGTGAATGGTGTGTATAAGTGTTTTTTTTTATTATAAATATTATTTCTTTCGCTTGTCCGGTTGTCCGAAACGCTTTTTATGAATGAAGCTGGAACCGGTCGAATGCCGGATGGATTAAATTAAAAGTCAAACCAGTCTGGCCTGATCGCCAATTTCCGGCGGCCGTCGTGGGAGTAATGAGTATACAGCCTTCTTTTTTTTTATTAATATTCTTAATTCTGTTAATGACCTCCTTTTAAAGATCTTTTTAGAAGTGTACCGTTTGGTCTACGAAATCAATATAAAGCCTTAATAGTAGGTACGTGCGTATACTGAAAATGCGATAATGCTTCAATGACGTTTAGAGAAAATCGTATCAGAGCCCGAAATTCGGGAATCTGTCCCCAAAATTGAAGTTAAGGGAACTTATCCTGAGAGTGTTTTGTAAATTTAATTACGGTAATTCCTTCCTCATGAAACTTGCTTGCGACGGACGAAGGCCTCATTTAATTTGATAGTATTAGAGAAATCAGATGTTTCTTAAAGAATGGACAAAGTGGAAATCGTACGAATAAATAAAATTTGGCTTCTCTATAGCGAAAAAATCGTAAACTTTTTCCCAATGCAGTAAAATCAAAAAACTATTGAAATAAACTAATATTAACGTATCGAAACTATTAAATTATATAGTCAAAATATACCTATGATTAAACCAGATTGAATTTGCATAAATTATTGTGTTTGCGAGCGTTATATTGAATAACACCCTAAACATCCCTAAAGATGTATTAAGCTACGTAAACACCCATAACAATGAGCTTATGAAATGCTAATTTCAATTGATAAGTAAACTTTTTGAAAGAAAATAGATATAATTTAATGTAGAAAACTCAATGCAGATATTGGAATGAATTTGAAAAAGAAATTACTATCAATTGTTGTGAAAGTATTTAACAATGATAGGTAGTTTTATTTAATGATAGGTATAAAATCGACAATATCGAAAACTTCAAATTTACTCAAAATTACAGCCAGATTGAGTGTTTAATAGGTATGTAAGTTTCTGAGTTTGTCGTTTGATAAATTAATAGAATTTCAGCCAAACAAAAAAGAATAACTTTGAGTCGAATACCTAAAATAAAAGAGTTTTTATTGACTTTCTATCTACAGAAGTGATGTGACTACCATAGAATTGATAATCAAAAATCATTGGCCATAGAACTATTAAAAAGTAAACATTTGAATTGAGAATCAATTAAATATGTATATTTTCTACAATCCTGATCCTTTCCAAATTTCGTGATATTTCCGATTCCTTTTTTCCTATACTGTTTCCTCAATTTTTACTTGACATTGGCTGAACGCACAAACCGTGCATGCCATAAAAAAAGAAAAAGAAGTAGGAGAAGAGAATCAAAAATCTAAAAAGTATTGTATCTATTTACTCACTTTTGACCTACCGTACCGCAGCAAAGTCCATAGCCGTATAACCGTTGAAAAAATGGAAAACAAGTTGTTTGATCTTGTGACCACGAAGCCTGAAAAGGGATCGCAACGTCGAGTGTCATGTAAAAATAAAACAAAGACGCTTTTTAACGCGCTCAAAAGAGTATTTAAAAATCGAATGAGCAATTTTTGTGTTCGGAATAGAAGACAATCGGGAAATGCCCGACAAGTTTGAATATGACGTGGCTATGTTTTGTATTTCAGTCGAATCGTAATCGAATGATTCAAACGTTTCGGGAAGTTTAAGAATGTCGCTTAAATCGCATACCGTCAAACTGAAACCTTAGTTTATTTTTAGAACTTTCATGTGATTTAATACAGTTTATTTTGGGGAAATTACTAATTACAACTTTGAATAATTATGTGATTACATTTTGTATTTCCGTCGAATTCAATTCGGATAATTCAAACATTCCAGGAAGTTTTAGAATGTCGCTCAAATCGCATACCGTCAAACTGAAAACTGAGTTTATATACAGTTTATTTGTAGAAATCCTTCAACCTTATATTGGAAGAACATAAAATTCGTACATATTTCTAATTAATACAATAAGTACTTCAATAATTACGCTCTAGCGTTGCAACATTTTGTTAGGTTTTAAACTACGCAATAGTTAACGCGTTCGCTCTGCAATCGAAAAAGTTGAGCAACTTTCGCATTGGCCTCTTATGGGATGGGTGACCAAAATTTTACTAGCTCAAGTCTCGTAATAGGTACTTACCGAAACAATCGGACTTCTATAATGAAACCCTGAGACTGAGCGTGTCCGATATGAAAATTAAAAATAGCGTGTGCATTTTATTTTATTATTATTTCTATTTTACGACGGGTCTTTTGCGGGACCTGATAAGGACCCGAGCCGTAATAAAATAGAATTCAAGAATCAATTTTCAAAATCAACTTTAAAACAAAAAAGTTATGTGTAAAAGTCGCGAAAAGTCATTAAACAGAAATAAATAAATACACCCTGTTAAACCTACTAAAAAAGTTGCATTCGAAAAAACTTATACCTACTGAAATAATAACTGTTTTTTCAGTATTGAAAAATTTTCATCATTTCTGTTGCTTAAAGTATCACAAACTGTCTGAACAGTTTGTCCCTATCCCAGAAACATCTTAAACCTATGTCGAATACAAATATTTTAACTGATTGCATTGTGGCAAGCTTTCCGTAACATTTTGGTGTTTCATTTCTTTCATTCCAAACGTTACTCTAAGAAAAAACTTATTTGAAATACTACGCGTTCGGAGCGGCGACATTAAATGTTATTATATTCCGATATCCACGCGAAGTCACGGGCGAAGCTATCGCTTGCAAAGGATTCCATACCGCTTATATGTTATAGGCAAGTAATCAAAGCCTATTGGTTAGTTCAAGTCATTAGTACAGGGGTTAATGTTCCAAAAGCCGTCAAACTTGTATAAGTAATATTGTAGTCCTCTCATATTAGTATAGTTAAGTTAAAACCGATTACGGTTATGTTTTTAGGTAAGTAATTAAGTACTATATTTGTTTCTTAGGTTTTCACGCACATCACTCATTAAATAAAAACTAGTTTTAACGGGTTAATGCATGAACTTTATTTATACATTGACGTTTCGCAGCCTTTTCAGGTCTGCATCGTCAGAATAATGTTTTTGTTTTTCAGAAAGGTCTCCCAATTTTAGAACCGGTGGTAGTTTACGGTAGTTAGGGTCAAATAAATAAACTCAAAATTACAAAAAAGAATTTGAAATAAAGTACTTTATTAACTAAATTAACTAATAAATTTCATACATACAGTGACAATAAAGTTTTGAAAATCTTCCAATGAAATATCCGAACGCTCATTAAAAGTCTTTCGAAGGTAGCTCGACAAAGTAAATAAAAAATCATTATTCTGACGATGCAGACCTGAAAAGGATGCGAAACGTCAATAAATAAATAAAATTCGTGCATTAATCCGTTAAAACTAGTTTTATTTCATTAAGTACTATTATTAAGTATATTTTTTACTTTGCATAATTACATTAGAGAATTGTGGTAGGTAAACTATAACATCATCTTATGGTTTCATAATTCAAACACAGAACATTTATTTGTTTCATTCACGCACTTTTAAATTTAGATCGAAATTTAGAATCTCGAAATTTGAATTCAAATACTCGTATTATTCTAAAAAAAAACAAGCAATAAGGCTACACATGTGAAGACCTTTTTGTTTTCTTTTTTATTAGAAGCAGTTCCATATTCAAATTTTGAAACGAAATAAAAAAAAAACTAAAAGAGTTAATTTTCAGCATAATAAATTAACCAAATTAAAAGGCAGAGCTTATGTTTTAGCGATAATAAATTAACTAGAATCGGAGAAGATGATTGTCGCCTACCATTAAACCGACTGCGTAAAGTAACCTGATACTTGAACAGACATGTTTGACAAACACCAGACGGCTCAGCCCATTGACGCCCACTCGCTAAATCATTGAATATTTATTAGCCTAATATTGCGATGACCAGCTCCTTATCACGTGGGCTTAGCTGTTTTGTAACAAAACGGACGAAAGAATCATTTTTTTACTAAAAAAACGAAGGACCAGATGGACCACTCTAATTCATCTCACGGCGACATTTCGATCAAGATTTCGCACGTTTATTACTTAACTAGCGGCCCGCCCTCGCTTCGCTTCGGTGTAGAGCTGAAGTGTAGACTACAGTTTTTGTTCTCAGGCTTGTATTATACACAATGACATTCATCTATGATTCTTCTTATACCTGCATGCAAAGTCTCAGCCCGATCGGTTTAAAATTGACAAAGTTTCATACAAACTTTAATTCCCTATTTTATCCCCTTGGGGGTAGAATTGATCAAAATCCTTTCTTAGCGGATGCCTACGTCATAACATCTACCTGCATGCCAAATTTCAGCCCGATTCGTTCAGTGGTTTGGGCTGTGCGTTGATATATCACTATGTCAGTCAGTCAGTCACCTTTGAGTTTTATATATATAGATATAAAGAAAAGTTTACTAGAAAAAAATCCACGCGGACCAGGCAGCGGACGGGTCCGCGTGGATTTTTTTCTAGTAAACTTTTCTTTAGATTTATACATCTAGCAGTTAAATGCTTAAAAAATAAATAAAATCATAACTATATAGATATACTTTTTTGCCTCTCCTGAAAAATTGGCTTTTGACTGTGTCCTATATCTTTTTAATGAATATTTTTAAAACTATGTCTTGTTTTCAATCCCAAATTAGTTTCTGTAGTGCTAGTTTTAACTAAAGCTCGGAGTGACCACTAGTTTTATCTGAAAATCAAATATATAAATACATCAGTGATAAATTCTAGTTTTTAATAGTTATTTCTAATTTCAACAAAGGCATTTAGTAAAAACTAACTTTAACTAGGAAAAACGTGTTCTGTCTCAAAACTGGTTTTAACTGTAACATATATAATGTAATACGATATCGAAATAAAGCACTTGTAATTGTATGTATTTGTATAATTTGTTACTTTATTAGGAATTATTCATAGTAAACTCA